GGTGCCCACGCCGAGCCGCGCGCCCGGGAGCCCGGGCGCCGCGGTCCCTCCCGCTCACTGGAGTCCGCGGGGCGGGCAGGATCCGGCCTCCGGGCCCCGGGCCAGCGGCCGGCAGACGGTTACGTCACCCTCGTGTCCGCGGCGGCCGCACAACCTGGTGCCGGATGGGGAACTCCGGCCGCTGGGAGCCCGCTCCTCTCTGCACCCGCCGGGCCCGCGGCCTGTGCAGAGCCCGGCGCTGGCCTGGAGGCCGCGGGCCCCGGAGGCCCGAAGGGGTCCCGCTCCACGTGGGAGCTGGCGCACCCCCGCCGCGTCCTTCCCGCGCTGCCGCTCCCGCCTCACTTCCCAGCGCCTGTGTCTGCGCGCCCTGGGCACGGCCTTCGGGCTACTTGTTACTTTGGACCGTCTTTCGGTTTCTGACCCCCTAGGGCTGGGGGCGGGGACGGCGCCCCTCAGCGGCGTGAACGAGACGGGGCAGAGATTGGCACTGCCCAGGGGTGGGTGACCGGTCGTAGGCCATGCCGTGGGGACACCCACTTTAAGGGGGCAGGGTGAGGGGGAGAGCTAGGTGGGGGACAGGGGGCGGGGTGAGGGGGCAGGCCTCCTGTGTGCCCCTGGCCCCACAAAATAATCCTCTCCGTCCTTGGGGAGGCTTTCCGAGGCCCCTGCTGTGGTGTGGCCCTTCAGTGGACCTGACAGCCCTGGGGTGACACAGGCCGGGAGCCCCTGAGTCAGCGGTGAAGACACTGAGAACTGACAGGTGTGCTGACCGCAGACCAGCCCTGCCCAGCATGCTCACTGTGGAGCAGTGAGCTGTGTGCGCCTGGGGAGGCGGCCTTACCTCTCTGGGCCTTCCATCCGTGGTCTGAAGAGGGAGAACAGGTGACCGCTGTCTGCCTTCAGGGAAGTGGGGGTAGCACGTCGGGTGACAAACAGGAAACAAACTGGGCAGCTTGAAAGGGAGGGACCCTGCTCCCCGCCCACCCTTGGCTGCGTCCTTCACCCCAGGCCTGCTTCTGCAGCCTTGGCAGGCGGAACTGGGGCACCACCCGAGGGCCTGGGCACATCTCAGGCCCAGGGAGGTTGGGTGGGTGTGCTCGGTGGTCACTGCACTGTCTGGGACCAGCGGGAGAGATGCGGCCCCAGACCACAGAGCCCCGCACCACAGAGCTGACAGCAGCCCAGTGGAGAAGCTGCGGTCAGAGAGCTGAACTCAGGTCAGGAAAGCTTCCTGCACAGGGTGGGACGTGGGCACCAGGCCCTGGCGGACCAGAGTGGGTGTGGGCATGGCCCTCTTCGATGTGGGGAAGCGCATCCCGGGCAGAGGGAGCAGCGGGAGGAGGACCTGGGGGCTGGACTGCCGAGCCAGTCGGGCTGGGGAGAGGTGTGTGACGGGGCCGGGCTGGGGGCAGGGGCTGCTGTGAGCGTGGACATATTCACAAGGGGTCTCCAGTCATGGCAGAAAGGCCGGGAGGAGTGGCCAGCCTCAAGGCCGCTTCGCTCTCCCCGCTGGGGCCAGGCTGCCTCGGGACCTGCCTTGAGTTCCCGGGCACGTCGTTCTAAGCCTCACTGTCGTCTGTGAGACAGGGCGTGATGAGGGATGTGTGTGGAGCGCACGGTCTCCTTAACATCCCCGCCTGCCACCCCGCCCTCTCCTGGGATGGCACCCGGGCAGCACCTCCCCCAGGTGGGACCCCCATGGAGGCACGGCCCTCTCCCTGCGCCTCTCCTGGTTCTCCTGCAACACCGCCCCCTACGCCCAAATCTGAGGGGCAAACCCTGGGGGCTCGGGATGCGTCGCCACGCCAGTGGGAGCCCCCGACGGCAGGGTGGTGTGTGTTGTGTTACCACTGTGTCTCAGCGTGCCCCTGGCAGTGGGAGGACTGACCCAGAGGCCCGGGCCGAGAGCCCCCCAGCTTCAGTTTCCTCTTCTGTGAAGGGGGGCGGTCTCGTGCGTCCCAGGGTGGCTGGACTTGGGGGCGAGTCGCAGGTGTAATCCCCAAGCAGGTGCTACCACCCGAGGCCGGGCTTCCCAGGGCCCCTCGGGAGTGAGTTGGCGTCCTCCTCACATCACCTCACTTTTGGCTGACGTGTCTTGGCTTGGGGACAGCCCCATGGACCCTGCTGTGGGGCTGTGGGGACACAGCAGGGAGGGGGTGGGATGGGGCTCCAGTGGCCACTTCTGGGCCGTGCACCCCCTCAGCTGCTGGGGAAGTTTGCTCTTTTTCCCATTTCTGCTTTCCTGGCAGATCCTGAGGCCACCGGGGTCTCGGCCAAGTTCTAAAAGGGGCCTTGACGGGGCTTTGGGGTCAATGCTGGCCTGTGCTGAGCCCACAGGAAGCAGGTCTGTGCAGCCCAGCCCTGGCCCAGCTGCTGCGGGGACCCCCACCCAGCAGACTTCCTGCCGGGCCATGGATGGGGGGTGGACTCGCGGGTGTGGGGCTCTGTGGCCTGGGGCAGGTGCCCTCACGCCAAGCCAGGCAGCAGCACAGCAGCTGGTGCCCACGAGGGTGGGTCAGACAAGGGACACCCAGGCCCCCGCCAGACCCTGCTTGGTCCTCAGGTCCCACCCCAGAAGGAGGGTGCCAGAGCTCCAGTCCACTGGTGCCCGCTGAGCCCGAGGGGAGGGCCCTGTGAGGGAGGGCTGCAGTGGGCCAGCATCAGGAGCTGGACCCCGGGCCCCGGGGCCCCTCCGCTCACACGGCCCCCTTTCCCGGCTCATCCTTTCTCTTCCTTGGCCTGGATTTGTGTCACGGAGTCAATTACGAGTCAGCGCAGCCTTTCACAGCGGTGAGGGCTGGGTTGCAAGGAAGAGGAGTGTCCGGCTCTGCCTTGTGCTGGCTGTGCTCCGGTGGCTGCCCGGCCTCTGAGCTCCTATTCACCTCGTCTGCCCGTTTTACAGACAAGGAAACCGAGGCACAGAGCAGTCCCCCTGCTGGTCCGTGGTGTGGCAGGATGCAGGGATGATAGAGAGGAGGTGTGGGTGGAAGCCCCCACAGATTTGTTGGGGGACTTTGTCTCTCGCACTGGGAGGGTGGGCGGGAATTCCCATGTGGGCTCCTTGTTCCAAACTTGTCCTCAGGATTTGGGGTCCGTGGCGGAGTCGGGCAGGCAGGGCCGGAGGGAGTCAAGAGTCAACCCCCCCGGTCCTGTGGAGCCTCCGTGGGCCTCAGCCTGGCCTCTCCTTGTCTCCCAGGGAAGCAGGGGGTGTTCGGGCAGGAGGCTGGGTTGGGGGCCAGGCCATGGGCAGCCCCCCATCTTCTCCCATCCAAGCCGGGCTGGATCAGAGTGTCTGTTATGCTGCGCCCAGAGCTGGTGGTGGCTGTGCTGCAGACCTGGGTTCAAATGCTGTTTCCGTCCCAGCTCCCCTCCCTGTCCAGCTGAGTATGCCCAGCAGTGCGGTCCTGGGCCAGGCGGCCCGCTTCCCCTCCAGCTGCTTGTGAATGGCTGCTGAGAGGCCCTCTGTCCACAGAAGCTGGGCTTGGGAGCCGGCTCCCTCCCTACAAGGCTCTTCCTGGCATTTAGGGGAAAAATCACATCCTAAGCTCAGCCAGCTCGCCCACTCCTGGGACCGCCTTTGAGGTTTCATGGAAATCCCACTGGCCCCGGGGACGCAGTAACCAGGTTGCATGTTCCCTGCAGTGCCCGGGTCACAGGCAGTGGTCTCCGTGGGGAGTTCCCAGAGTGGCTTTGGTAGCTGGGTTGGGGGGTGAGACGGGAGGGGGACAGAGGTGGCTGGTCCAGGCCCATGGGCTCCGGACCTGCCAGAGGGGGCCAGCCACCGCCCTCTGCCCACCGACCTGAGTGGGCCTCTCAAGACAGTGGTGTCCCTGGGACTCGCCCGCAGTGGTCACTTCCAGGGCCCAGAGCTCAGGGTGGGGGAGGCGGCTCAGCCCTGTAGCTCCCACCCTTCCCTGGGCTCTGCCCCACAGTCTCCTCGGCCCCTCCCCAGGGTGGACGCGAGTCTGTGCCGTGTCCCGGGCTGGGCTTTGGGGCAGACTGGCCGGGCTTGAGTTCTGATCTGCCCCCCTGTCGAGGTGGCCCTGGGCAGCCCCCTCTGAGCCCCATCCCCCGTCTGTAGAAGGGAGAATAACGCTCGCTCTCATGGTTAGCTCTCATGGTTAGTGGCAAACTCAGTGGGGGCGAAGCTTCCCAGAGAGCGGCCTGTGTACAGATGGGGAGACCAAGGCCAGCGGGGCGCGGGGAGTGCCTTGTCAAGGCCACACAGCCAGGTTGTGGTGAGCTGGGGCTTGACAGGGGCCCCCCAGACCCCCAGGCCTGCAGCCTCTGGCCATTGCTCCTTATCCCTCCAGGTTGAGCAGGAAGCAGATGGCCGCGTGGGCAGGAAGTGTGCTGCACCAGGAGGGGCGCGTGGGCCGGGGCGCTGCTTTCACCACAGGCTCCAAGGCAGCGGCCACACCCCCAGAACCTCCTGGGTCATCTGCTCCGTGGCACGCGTGGGGACTGAGGCCCAGGGGAGCTGGCTGTCCTGAGGTCACAGGGCTAGAGCCTGGGGCAAGTGCTCCGGGTGCTCAGGGGCCCGGGGATCGTGGTGTCAGCCACCAGGGTTTCTGCGCCCCGGGGCCTGGGTTCAAATCCCTGCACAGCCCTCACTTGCTATCCGCTTTGGACAAGGCTCCTCCCGTCGTAGCCTCAGTTCACCTTCCGTCAGTGGGTGCGAGGACAGCGGGAACAGGCTCCCCGTGCTGGGGCACTGACCATGTCCTTCTGTGTTTGAATGTGCGTGTGCTGTGTGGCTGTGAAATAGTTGAAGGGTTTAGAGAGCTCAGAACAAAAAGGCGTTCCTCCTGCCCAGAGGCCTGTGTGGTTAGCCTGGACATGCGCGTGCATGTGTGTTTACACACGTGTGTGCAGATGTGTTTGTATGTTTACACGTGTTTACTCATGTGTGCGTTTGCACACGTGTATGTGTGTGTTTGCTCATGTGTGTTTACATGTGTGCATGTGTGTCTGTGTGGCTCCCCCGCCCCCAGAAGGTGGCAGTTGCTCTCGAGGTCAGCACCGGGCTCTTTTCCAGGATTGGGGATGAGGATGAGCATTGGGGTGACCTCCTGGGAGGGCACTTGGGCACTTCTGGTTTATGAATCTTGGGAGCACACGCCTGCCCCCCAAGAAGCACACGCGTGATGAGGCTTCGCCAGCCGGGTGGCTTTGCCAGAGTGGAGCTGGGGGACAGCCTCGTGCCCAGGGTGCGTGGGGCGTGGGGGCGGCCCACCCAGCTCTGAGTGCTGCTGGAGGCCCCAGTGGGGAGGCGGAGTTGGGTCCCAGTGGGCTCAGCCTCGTGTTAAGCCCTGGAGAGCCCGTGGAGGAGGCTTCCCTGTGGGCCCTCAGGTGTAGAATTTCAAACCAAGTGGATGTGCCACTTAGAGACACGAGGGAAGGCGGGGCAGGTAGCAGAGCCGCCAGTGCTCTGTGCTCACCCTCCCTTCCTCCTGGGCATATTAGTCTGGATTAAATTTAAACTTGAAAAGACACGGTAAAAGTGAGGCCCCACCCTCCTGTAGTTCTGTGTTTTCCATGGTGCAATTTCCAGAGGCAGAGAGCAGAGGCTGCGTGAACGCCATGTCCGCCTCTCACGGGCCTGTTTCGGCCCCTCCCGGGCAGCCCGCCTCCCGTCCGTCCCTGCATCTTTCATGAGTCTGGAAACAGGATCTCGCGAGTGGCCCCGGGAGGCTGGCCAGGTGACTGGTCCCGAAGGCTGTGGTCCTGGGCCTGGTGGCTCAGGGGCGCCTGTAGACAAGGGCCAGGGCCGAGGGACGTGGGTCTGTCCAGGGTGCTGGGGAGGGCCCTGGCCAGGGGCAGCTTAGAGGGGCCAAGGGGCTGGGTAGAAAGGGCCTCCTGCCTCCCCTGCCCCAGGAGAGACGGGCCTCTCCTACCAGTGGAAGTCTCGGAGGCTACCTGAAAGAAGTGACCTCTGGGCAGGATCTCCGGGCCTGGAGGTCACTCGGGAGTGACAGGGCACCTGGCCCCGAGGCCCGGGATGTTCTCAGGCAGAGGTGAGGGAGGAGGTGTCGGAACTCATGTTCCTGTTTTACCGACGTGGACGTGAGGGCAGAGTGAGTCCCAGAGGCCCGTGTGCGGCACATGCTCTGGCCACCCTGTGAGGGTCACCTCACATGCAGTGTCCCTGTCACGGAGATTGATAGTAACCGAGTGGCAGGAGGGGACCTCTGGAGGGCAGACGCATGGCGGCCTGGACGGTGGTGACAGTGTCGCGGTGTGCACTGAGCTCCGAACTCTTCAGGTTGTGGACAGTAATTCTGATCAGCTTTTGTGTGGCAATCACACCTCAGTAAAGTGGTTTAGAAGTTGTTCTTAAAAATAAAAATTAAGGAAAAAGCTAAGCTCAACGGCACTGTAGATACCAAGGCATCTGTTGAGCGCCTGCTGTGTGCTCTGCGCAGCTGGGAGGAATCGGCCGTCCAGGAAGGTTTGCCTCACCTCTGGGCGTGTGGGCAGGAATGCGGGATCCAGCTCCCATCCCCGCACATCACTTCCTGCCCTGGCATCAACCGTCAGCCCAACCAGGGTGGGGGGTGGGGGCGCACCTTGGGCTGGCGGGGGCATGCAGGGAAGGCTGCCAGAGGCCTACACCCGAGGGCAAGCGGGCGGGCGTGCGATGGGCACCATTTTCCCATCCAAAAGCCGAGTGTGTGCTGAGGCCATCCTGCCTCTGTCTCTTCTGTGGCCTGGTTCCCCGGAGGGTCCTGCGGGGGCTGCGCGGCCTCGTCTGGCCTCTGGTTCTACGAAGAAGCACTTCCTTTTGAGCCCTTGCCTGCAGGCTGACGGCCCACAGCCCTGCCCATTCCCAGGGAGGAGATGGAGCTCACGGGGGCAGGGGTCGCCAGGGGGCTGCCCAGGCCCAGGCTGACCGCACCCCCACCCCCACAGCCACCTCGCCGGGGCCGGAACCAGCCCATCAACGTGAACCATTACGCCAACAAGAAGAGCGCGGCCGAGAGCATGCTGGACATCGCTCTGCTGATGGCCAACGCCTCCCAGCTGAAGGCCGTGGTGGAGCAGGGCCCCGACTTCGCCTTCTTCGTCCCCCTGGTGGTCCTCATCTCCATCTCCCTCGTGCTACAGATCAGCGTGGGCGTGCTGCTCATCTTCCTCGGTGCGTGCGGGGCCTGGGCCGGCCACGGGAGGGCCCTGGTGTCTGCTTGCCACCCCCTGGCACGGGGTACTCACCGCCTGATATGCTCTGAGCAAGAGGGGTTTGCCGGCCCTCCTCACTTGGTCACACGGTCCCAGATGTGGCTCCCAGGTCACTCCCTGGAGGGCCCCCCATGTCTCTGTCCTTCCACCCACCATAGCTGAGGACACAGAGGAAAACGTCATAAACACAATAAGCGTTGACATGTACTGAGCACCTACTGTGTACCAACTAGTCCTTATGGTGGTCGACTGGGACTAGATGGTGGTCCCGCCCCCCTGGTGAGGGTCAGAGCTAGGAGCAGTGCGGAGGTGGGCTCACCTCCACTTCCGCCGGGCTGTGTGGCTTCGGCTGGGTTACAGGACCTCCCCGGCCTGGGTTTCCCTGGTGTTGTAACGTGCCCCTAAGGATCGGGCCCAGGGTGGGTGCCAGGAGCACTCGGTTACGGCGCCGGGCGCTGGGAGCAGAGCCTGCCTGCGTGTGCTCGGCATGTGAGCCTCACGATCCAAGCCTGGCCTTGGGCTGGGGCCTCCGCTCTGGCCGGGCAGCAGGCCCCCAGGGTGGTTCACGCATTGAGCGGAGCTGCAGATGGCGGCTGCCGGGCCAGGCCTCACAGCGGTGTGGGCGGGCGTGTCTCTGGGGGACACAGGGGTGTCTGCGGCCCGGTGCGGGCCCCATGCAGGCGGCCCGGGCAGTGCCCGCTCGCTCTTGCCCGCAGTCAGGCACGACCTCAACGACCCTGCGAAGCACGCCAAGCTGGACTTCCTCAACAACCTGGCCACCGGCCTGGTCTTTATCATCGTCGTGACCAACATCTTCATCACCGCCTTTGGCGTCCAGAAGCCCGTGGTGGATGTGGCGCCCCAGCAGTAGGGGCTCAGGTGAGCCGGGAGGGCCAGCCGGGCAGGCCTCGCTCCAGCACAAGCCCGCGTGCCCGGCTGGGCCGCTGACCACCGGCAGGCCTGGGGGCTCAGGGCCTTTCACTCGGAGCCCCTGTGACCTCGCGTCTGCCGCTGCCCAGGCCTTGCAGGGTGGGCGCCCCCAGCCATGTGCACCCGCACACCACGCTCAGCCGCCGTCCTTGCTCAGAGGCCGAGCGTCTGTCGAGGGTTACCCAGCTAGGGAGCAGGGGCCGCGGGGAGGCCGCGTAGCAGGCTCAACAAAGAAGCCTCTACTATGGGGGGCCAAAGGGGGCGACACAGGCGCCCCAGGTGTCGGGAGGCCGGAGGCAGGACGGCAGAAGAATCCGACGCCACACCCTGGCGCACGGGTGTCCTGCGTCTGGGGCTCTGGCCAGAGCTGCACACCACGAGTCCACACGGCCTCAGGCCCCTTGGGCCTGCCCCAGAGGAAGGGTGGGCACCACTAACAGACAAGCGTCCGTCCACCAGCGACGCCCCATGGCAGAGTGGCCAGGAGGCTGCCCAAGCACCTGTGTGGCGGGGCCTATGAGAAGATCTTCCAGAGTGGCCAAGTGGACACTGGGAGTGGGGTCTTTGTGCAGCCCAGTTGGAAGCTTCTGACCTCCACTGGCCCACACCATGGCCGTTGGCCCCACCTGGCATCCGATTTGCTGCCCGGCTGCTGGCCCCGGTTTGCTGCTAAGTCTGTCCCCCATAGAACTCTCTGGACGCCAGTCTGCTCCCTCGCTCATTGGGACATTTATTAATCACCTGCTGTGTGCCCCACATAATCCTGACTCTCCCGAGCATCAGCCCAGTGAGGAGGCCTGCGCGCCCCACAGCACTGGCCCCTGTTCTCCAAAGGCCCCACCAGAGCGTGCTGGGGCCAGTCCTTTAAATCCTGACAGTCACTCAGGAGGGGACACTGAGGCTTTCCCAGGTCAGAATTGGGCCCTTCTGACTGCAGTGTCAGAGTGGCCCCAATGCTTGGGGGGTGGTCACTGGACACACTGCTGAGGCAGGGTCACCAGGACAGGAGTGGAGGCCCCTCCGGCCCGGGCGGCCCTCATGCCTCTTCTCTTCCTTCTTTGCAGATGCCCCCGGATCATGCCAGGAGCCTCTTCGCCCTTGGGGCCCGCCGCCCTTTGGGCAGCTCTCCCCGAAACCACCAGATCTCGGGCTGGCCCCACAGGACCTAGTCCGGGACAAGCCTTATGTGGTCAGGCCACTCCAGCCAGTGCACGGCCTGCTCTGTCCTCAGTTGTTGCTCCTCCTGGAGTGTGGGGCGGAGAGCCCCCGAGAAGGGTCATGGCCGCCACGGACACGCGCAGGCCTGAGGATGGGCAGCGAGGGGCCAGGGCCACCTCGGTCTCAGGACGTTTCCAGAGGGACAAGGAGATGCCCCTGACTCTGCCAGCGCAGCAGTGTCCCAGCCTCACGTGTGGCCCCTCTGGGTGACCCACAGCCTCTGTGCTTCCTGTCCCAGGATATTGGACTGCCAGTCCCCCCTGGTCCCTGTGGTGGCCACAAGTCCTGCACACGCTCTCCACCAGCAGACTGGGCAGGGCCCCAGCCTCTCCTCAGGGGTCCAAGCTCCTGCTTTTCTAAGCACGAATGACCAGTAAAACTGATTCTCCTCCTCGTGTGGCTCCCAGTGTCGTCCTCCCCTCCCCCAGGCCTGGGCCCTGCACCATGACCACGGCCCTCCACTAGCCCCCCAGCCTGTGACCTTGAGGGGAGCAGCCTCCATTGGCATCTCAACGTCACCCCCACGTGTCCTCAAGACACTTGGCCCCGTGACCCCTGACCAGCCACTCATGGAAAGTTCCAGCACTCTGATGTTTCCTACAGTCTGCGTGCTCTCTGTACCCACAGTGGTGCCCAGTGCTGCCCTTCAGTCAGGCCAAGAGGCCCAAGGAGAGTGGGACTGGCACTGGGTGGGCCTTGACCCTGTGGAGACCGCAACTCCACAACAAGGGCCAGGTGCTGTCTCTGGGGCCCAGCCTGTCCTAAGGGTCCTCACCTCACCCAGCTAGAACCCCCACCTTCCTCGGTCCACCCCACAACCCCCTTATCTCCTCCTCCTTGACTCCTGCTGGCCGCACCATTCATCTCCTTGAGGGAGCAATGCCCTCAGCTGGTCCCCTCCAGGTGTGATACCTGGGAACCCCCATGGCCTTCTGCCCCCTCTTCTAAGCAGCCTTCAGAGCCCTGGGTGGGGATGTGGCCTCCCCCATCACTTCTCTCCCTGACCCTGTCGGGGAGGGGCAGTTCCCTTAAGTTGGTCAGGTGACCCCACCATCTCTTCTGTGGGGCTAAGTGATCAGCTCCCCACAAAGTGATTGACAAACACAAGGGGCTGGCCCAGTGGTGTAGTGGTTAAGTTTGTGCACTCAGCTTCAGTGGCCCAGGGTTCACAGGCTCAGATCCCAGGTGCAGACCTACGCACCGCTTGTCAAGCCATGCTGTGGTGGTGTCCCACATATAAAGTAGAGGAAGATGGGCACGGATGTTAGCCCAGGGCCAATCTTCCTCAGCAAAAAGAAGAGGATTGGCAACAGATGTTAGCTCAGGGATAATCTTCTTCACACACACACACACAAAAGTGATTGAGAAACACGAGTGTTTATGGGTGAGATGGTCGGATCCTGGGCTTTGCTTTAAACGACTGCAGGAAAAATCGTAGGGAGGTGGATGAAACAGGATTGAAAAAGTGCTGGGGACTGCAGAGCGTGGAGGTGCTCCGCTCTTGTGAGCATTGGAATGTCCCATAAACATGGTTTTCAAGATGATCCCACGTGGGACAGCCACCCTTCCTGCTGGTTCCCGGGAGCACATCTGACCTTCCCTTCTCGCTTTTGCCCAGCAGCAGTGGGATGAGGGGGTCAGGCTCCCTATCACCTGCCCCCCACCTGGCCCTCTTGCCAGCTCCCTGGCTCACCCAGTCCTGTCCCCGTTGCCCCCTCCACCTGGCCGTCCCTGTGTGTCCAGGACAGTGTCTGGGCCCAGGCTCCCAGGTCCAGCTCTGCCCAGGGCCTGGCACCTCGTCCCTGGGGTGGCCTGTGGTCACAGGGTTGGTCCACAGCCACGAGGGAGGGACTCACAGGGCAGCACTGTGGGTGTAGCCAACAAATGGCCCAGTTCCTCCTCTGGCCAGGACAGGAAGTTTGCCCGGACACAGCTGGTGGGGGTGAACCCCAGATGGCTGGACTGAGTCCTGGGCCTTGAAGCCAGGCTGGCCTCCATGGGTGCTGGGGGCATTGGGGACAGGGTATAACAGTGGGTGGGCCTGTGCATCACAGCCCCCCACAACCCCCTTCCCAGGTGGGGAGTGTGCATCCCCATTCCCACAGCCCCTGTGTCCAGGTACCCCACACAGGCACACATGACAGCCTCCCACCTCCCCACTGACCAGCTCCCAGGCTCCCGCCTCAACAGCCGCTCCAGCCCCCTAACCCTCACTCCAGATGTGTTCCCATCTCAGGGCCTTGGCACATGCTACCGCTCTCCAGGGTCAGGGCTCAGCCCTGAGGTCCTCCCCGTAGGCCCTCCCAACCACCTCTGCTGGCCATTCATGGCAGGCTATTTGGGTCTACTCTGCCTTTGGTGCCATGGGCTAATGTCACCGCCCACAGTGTCCCCATGGAGCCTGTGTCTGAGCCCTGCCCACCCCCACCACACCTGGCCCAAGGCCAGGGCTGCAGCCTGGAAGGCGTGTCCTGCCCTCCAGTCTCCCTGAGGGCTGAGGGGCTCAGCTTAGGCTGGGATGAGAAGGTGGGCCCCCCATTCATGCCTGCTTATGGGCTTACTTACAGGCCCTTGGTCTGGCCCAGGTCTCCCACCAGATGCCACCATCTACAGCCTGTGCCATGGCACTATATCTGGCATACAGTAGCTAGTCAGTAGGTCTGCAGTAGATCCACTCACTTAACTGGGTAAAGGTGACAAACATGCCTGGGTAAAGATGATAGACTTTCTCCTCTATCCATGACCTGAGACTTGGCCGCACTAAGCCCAAAACCAGCCTGGAGCCATCCCTCATGTCCTCACATCTTAGTCACACCCTCCCTCACACCAGCCTCACACCCTCCAAACACCTTCCTCAAACTCTTCCTGACACCCTCCCTACACCCTCCCTCACACCCACCACAAACCTGCCTCACACCCTCTCTCACACGCTCACACCCGCCTCATACCCTCACTCACTCTCCCTCACAGCCTCCTCACACTCTCCCTCACACCCTTCCTCACATCCTCCTCACACCCTTCTCACACCCTCACAACCTTCTCACACCTTCCTGGCACCCTCCTCACACTCTCCTTCACATCCTCCTCACACTCTGCCTCACCTCCTACTCACACCCTGCCTCACATTCTCCTCACACCCTCCTCAGATCCTACTCACAACTTCCTCACATTCTCCCTACACCATCTCTCACACCCTCCTCACACTCTCCCTCACATACTTCTCACACCCTCATAAACTCACAACCTCCTCACACCCTCTCACATCCTCCTCACATGCTCCCTCACACCTTCCCTCACACCCATCTCATACCCTCCTCATACCCTCCTCACATACTCCTCTCCCTCACATCCTCTTTCACATCCTCTCTCACACCCTTCTCACAGGATCCTCATACCCTCCTCACATAATCCTCACACCCTCCTCTCACTTTCC